TGTTAGCAGTAGGTCCCCAGATTAATAAATAATTTCAGATAAAGAAGAAATAGGTTTATGACAAAATTTTTCTATTGCCAAAATGCTTAATTTTGCAACTATCTTTTATCTGAACGAAGAGTTCAAAAGGCCCAGGTTCTAGACCCAGTCCTGCCCTAACCAGCTGTGTGACCCAGGATGGCCTCTTAACTGCTTGAGGCCTCACTTTTCCCTCTCTAAAATGAGAAGGCTGGACCAGGCGATCTCTAAGGCCTTACCCACTACAACATTCTGTGAGGACTCTGAGCCCTTTTGGCTAATTGTCTCCAGGTGATTGCACTTATTATATTTATTAAGCAGTTAGGGGTTTCTCCATTCTGTTCTTAATTTCCCATCCTATGACATATTTCATCCCAGAATGTTTTATATAAAAAAATTATATTTCCAAGTTTGCAATAGCTTTAGCTTGAAATGGATACTGTGCCATAAAGATCACTAGAGATTTGTAAAGCAAAACTCAGAAACATTAACAAGCCCACAAGTGCTTTAAGATTAATTTGATCTTGGATGTGTCTGTGAATGAATGGGTTTGACAGAAGCCTTTCAATTTCTCGCTCCACTTCAAAGAGTGCACAGAGTACAAACTGTAAACCAATCTCCACATTTTCTGATATGGCCACTAAGCTGGAAAAAAAGAGAAAAAGATGGCTAATAAACTATTCAAACAAAATTTAGGAGTTAGGGAAGCACAGGGCCCCAGCTTATGGCTTGCCTTCTTTGCATTACTCGTGCTGTGTGGCTCAGGTGGAGTCTAGATTTTCCATTTCAAGCAGGCACATATGGGAGGAGGGGAGAAGGTAGGAGGACCACAGAAAGAACTGAGGTCAGAAGGACACAAACGATTGAGTCACTTCTCCACTCAAGATGGCATGGGTCAAACGTCAAACATAGCAACATGAGCCTGGTGCACTGAAGCACACTTGGGCAGCGAGAGTGGTCTCCACCGTGGATTGGCACAGAATTTGCCATCACACATTAGCTGATCTGTGAAAGGAGAAGCAACACGTTAAGATCATGGACTTGAGGTCAGACTGATCTGGGCTCAAATCTTATCGTATCACTTTCTAGTTCAGTGAACTCTGGCAAGTTATTTTACCTATTGGAGCCTCCAGTTCCTAATCTATAAAATGGGTGTAATAAGACTTATCATTCAGAATTGCTGTGAGGACTAAATGAAATAATGTGTGTGTTTCAGGATTAGGTCAGCTGCATATAGCAGAAAATCCAAATGACAATGTCTTAAACATATAATATGAAATCTAATGATAGCAGTTCAGGACTCGCAAGGGGGATCCATAGCATCCTGGAATGTTCCAGTTTCCTGCTTTATTTTGCTATTTTATCTCTAGCATGTGGCTTTCATCCTCAAGATTACCTTGTCATCATAAGATGGTTGCAGCAGTGCCAGCCATCACATTTGCATTTCAGACAGAGAAAAGAAGAGGGAAGGACACAAAGAAACTTGCCTCCCAGCTGAGTTAGCTCCCTTTGAAGAGTTTTTCTAGATGCTCCACCCAATTTTTATTTATAGCTCATTGGCCACATCTATCTTCAAAGGGGGCTAGAAAAGTTAGGACCTTAGTTGGACACGTTGCTACAACAATATAAGGGATAAAGGCAGAAGGGGAGGATGGATAATTAATTAGCAGTCTCTCCCATGGTATGTCAAGCACCTAGTAAATATGATATACTACATGAAAAATAACTCTTATTTAATTCACTCATAAAGCTATCTTGGAAACACTTGGCTCATCTCACCATGCTGACTTCCTCAAAAAGACTATCCCATCTGTGGGTCACCTTCCATCTCTCAGAGGTCTCCACCACTCTTTGGGGACCTCACAAAGGAGCTTACACCCTCTTCCAGACCACGGCCCTTTGCAGTTTGAAAGCAGCTGTCCTGTGCTCAGCAGCAGACTAACCGCCCCCAGGTTCTTCAAGTTGTACAGTGTTGTCACAAGTCCTGAACATTCTTCTCTGGACTAGATCCCTCTCCAGCCATGGCTCCCATAGTGATCCAATGATCCAGATATGGGCAACCCGAGAGGAAACAGACAAGGTCTGTCAGTTCCCTAGTTTTGGACCCTCTACAGCTCACTCCTGCCATGGCTGACTCATAAATTGGCCGTGGGGACTCTTCAGCAAGGGCTCTGAGGCAGCCCCAGCCTCTCTGAATGGGATGGTCTAGGAGATACAGTCAGCCTCCCCGGGCCCTTGTGCCCTCAGAGCAGAGAGCCAGGGCTCCTGAGTCTCTGTCCCCACTGTCCTCTAATTCCCCAGCCCAGTGGGAGGGGACTGCCTGCTCCTGAACTAGCAGCAAGGGGACAGCCTCATAGGATGGGAAGGGGAGAGCCCCGCTCCTCTGCCCTCGTGTCTGAAACCAAGACACTTAGATGCCCAAATATCCTTCCAGCGAAGGAACCGTATCCTGGTGTCCTGGTGTACAGGACTTGCTCCTGGAGACACTGGCCTGACAGCCCTCCCCAGGGGACGAGGCAGCCGGGCTCCTCAGGAGAGCAGGACCAGCCGGCCCTGCTGTTCTCCAGCCACAGGGCTGTTGGGTGGAGACTCCTCCTCGGCCAGACGGATGGCACAAGTGGGAGGTGAGAGGAAACTAGAGAGTCCCCAAGACATATTGACTCTGTACATAGGAGGCTCAGACCGTGGTTTGGCCCGATGCTGGTCCCAGGACTTAGGCCCACCCTCACGCCCACAGGAGACAGCACACCCCATTAAGAGTCTCCTGAGGGGTGCCCCTCTCCCCGACCAGGGGTCCCCAGCCTGGCTCACCCACAGCAGAGGGAAGCAGAAATAGGGGGAAATGAAGGAGAGAGTAGAAACAAAATAAAAGGATGCACCCCTGCAGTGGAGAGTGTTAGAGGTCACGGTGTCTGTTAAGTCAGGGGTTGCTGGGCTTCTCGTGGGACATATAGAAGAAGAAACTGTGGAATGTTTGGGTACAGTCAGTATTCATCCTGGTTTACCTGGCACAGTCCGTAAACACCTGCTGGCCTGACATAATTATTAACAGCACCCACTTCCACTCTCAAACGTGACCTGATTGGACCACAAATGACATGGTGACTCTACCTGGGAAAGGGACTAGAAAGAATAAAAAATCATTCTTTTGAAAACTTTTCTCCTATAACGCAATATATGTACAGCTACAAATCAATGATTTCACCATGTGCCCATGCCCACCTTTACAGATTAAAGATTAAATTCTTATCCAAACTATCTTAATCAAAATGGAATATCATCAAGCTGCACTTCTATTATTAATTTAAAAATATTATCCATGTATAATATGATATTGCAATTAACCAAAGAGAGTTTTGAGGAAGTGCAGTCTATGCAGTTCTCTGTTCCCCCAAAGGCTGGGAAATTCAATTCAGCCAGTTCTGACATATGTACAGAGAGCTTTAAAGAGAAAATAGTCATGAACTCAAAACTTTCCAGGACTTGAAAGCATTTTGTTCCTTAAGAAAAACTGAGTCTGTTTCTTTTGAAGGAAAAACAAAAAATTTTAAAGACCAACCATGGCACAACATTAAGAGCCTGGAGCTACATATAAATTTATGTTCAACTGCATCCTATGTGAGGAGAGAAAATAGAGAATAACTCACTTCCACGGTGCCGGGAGCCCCTCTCCTGCACACTGCCCCTCGCCCACCCCTACCTCCCCTCTGTACCCACACCTGCCCTCACTCACCTCCTCCCCTCTGTACCCACACCTGCCCTCACTCACCTCCTCCCCTGTGTACCCACACCTGCCCTCACTCACCTCCTCCCCTGTGTACCCACACCTGCCCTCACCTCCTCCCCTGTGTACCCACACCTGCCCTCACCTCCTCCCCTGTGTACCCACACCTGCCCTCACTCACCTTCCTGCCCTGTGTACCTACACCTGCCCTCACTCACCTTCCTCCCGTGTACCCACACCTGCCCTCACTCACCTCCTCCCCTGTGTACCCACACCTGTCCTCATTCACCTCCTCCCCTGTGTACCCACACCTGCCCTCACTAACCTCCTCCCCTGTGTACCCACACTTGCCCTCACATACCTTCCTCCTACATCAAACTACCAGATACCCCAGTAAGATTCTCAGATTTTTCTAGGATCTCCTCTACAACACAATTTTCTCATTTGAAAAATAAAGATACAGTGGGGATTTTCCTGCTTCACAGAACAGATCATGAAAATTAATGAGGTAATGTCTCAGGGAACACCTTAAATACACCAGAAAAAGGTGCTTCGGGATACCACGGACACGAGTGTGGTTCTAGACACCGTGTAGTCTCTGGAGCAACTAGGCCTGAATTTGAATCCCCGCCAATCCCACGCTACTGCTTGTTAGTAGGTGGCTTTGGTTAAATGACTGAAACCTTATGAAGTCCCTGTCATCCTCTGTAAAAGGAGCATTAGTGGTCGCTGCCTGCCAGGATGTCTGGAGAGTGGACAGTGTGGCCACACAGTGAAACGTCCGGCATTCAGTAGCCTGTCTGCAGTCCCTCTCCCTGTCTAGAGCTTCCATCATTTGGGGACAATGACGTGGGCACTGTGTAAGTTTTCCACCCCTCACTTGCTGCTTCTGTTTTCCTGTCTTTTGCCATTTCAGCGTGTATTGGTGAACGCCAGGGTGGAACAGTGAGAAAGCTTTGAAATGGCATGAAACGCACAGAAATCAGCCCTGCCCTTTGTCATTTCAGCTGCAGTAACAGGGCTTGATGCAGGAGATAGACTTGGGTGTTTGAAATATTGGGGGTTTTAGATGCACTGGATAAGTGTCACTGGCCCTTTATGGAGGAAAATCTAACGTTAGTCACACTATGGAGGAAAATCTAACGTTAGTCGTCATTCTGTAAGGCAATGATAGCACCCGGAGCGTTACGGCCCCCGTTACACACAAAGGAAACAGGGAACTATCAGGGACCACATTTCGCTGCCAGCTGCACATTCAGTGGCTTTAACTTATCGAGCTTGGGCGCGTACATCAGAGGAGAGTGTTTTTCATAACCAATGTTCATTCTGGCCCAGTGTGTCACAGTGCAATACTCCTGTAAAGCATATTTTACTTAGCAAATTGAGTCCTAAAGCATTTCTTTTACGCTGTTATTTCTCATTTAGAGCACTCTTTCATCTGCCTCCAAAAGCTCTTCCCCTGCCATGGCTCACCACCTTGTCTTAGGATCTTTCTGTTCAGTATTTCTACTAGATGCAAAGGTCAGACCAGATGTTTAGAATAACTCAATCCTCAGGAGGGCCCCCCGGGCTCTGGATTCCATCAGAGCCAGCCTCGAGCTCCTTCGCAATCCTCACCTCTCTCTTTTCTGTACCTGCCGGCTGCCCTTGGACATCACCAGTGCTTTTGCCTTCTGACTTTAAATACCCCATAGCATCATTTGCTTCCTGAAATCACCTGTGTACATCGCCTAGTGTACATCAATGGGATCTGTCTAGACAAAAGGAACCAAGTCCAGACGGCAGTTGCCACTGTCAAGTAGAGACAAATGTTGGCATAAATAGGAGATGGGTGGAAAGCAGGCTTAGGACCAACAGCCAGCTCACCAGCTGCCATAGACTTGCCAATCACACACACATGCGCAGTCCATTCAGCGTGGCCTGCTAAGGTCCTGCAGGCAGGCGGCTGCAGCTTGATGATGGTATGGATGGAACATGCCCAAGGAACTCCTTTATTAGAACCCTGTAGTGCTGAGAACTCTGTAGTGCGGAGAAGCTTGTTCATCTTGATTGATATTCTCAAATCGCTGAGGGCCATTTGTAGCCTTGGAGAGGGAGAGATAGAAACCTTTTATTTTTATGCAGGTGAGAGACACTTATCAGCCTTATGTATGTTCATTCAACAGCTACAAGTTTATATTCTCTGGCATTTTCTCTTTGCCATTCTTTCTTCTTTGCATCCTCTTCACCAATGTAGGTTCTGCTATGGATCTCCTAGACAGTGAGCAGTGTGGTCTCCAGAGTCAGATGCTCTGGGTTCAAATCCCAGCCCTTCGGTTTACCATTTGTGTGATCCTGGGTGAAACATGTAACCATCCGGGCCTCAGTTTATGCATCCTCACTAATGATAGTGAGAATAGTGGCTACTCAAAGGGTTTGTTGAGATTAAATGAGTTAATCCTCATAAAGAACTTAGTATGAGGCACAGAGTAAGTACTATGTAAATATTGTTCAATCCACCAACATTTGCTAAATGTTCTGCTAGTAAAAGTGGTCTTTGGGTTTGTTCTCCATGGTGCCCTATACTTTATATCTCCTAGGCAACATGTAAAACCTAGGAGATTCTCTTGTAGGCATGAGTAGCACCAGCAATAAGGTAAGCCTACATGAGCTGTGATCCTGGAATGGTAGTGACTCATTCATTTATTCATTTCTTTCAGTAAGTACTTATTGAGCACCTAATATGTGCCAGGCACAGTTCTAGGTGGTGGGGGTAAAGTAGTGAGCAAAGCAGACAAAATTCCTATTCTCCTGAAGTTTGTTTTCTAATAAGAGTATACAGGCAAAAAAAAAAAAAAATTTAAAAGGCAAGAAGAGAGTATAAAGTGTTATGCAGAGAATTTAAACCAAGTAATATGCTAGAGAGTGACCAAGGAGCTCCGCTGGGCTATAGGTTTGGGGAAGGCCTCTGAGGACCTGATATTGAAGCTGCAATGTGGGGAAACTAGCTGACAGCAATCAGAGAGAAAGAATTCCAGGCAGAGGGAAGAGCAGGAGCAAAGATCCTAAGATGGGAATGAGGAACGGGAAGAAGGCAGTTTGGCTGGTTGGTCGTGAGTGGGAGGCGGGGGGTAGGGGTGGAGAGGAAGATGGAGAGGCAGAGCAGAATCAGGTCCTGCAGGATGCTGATGCCAGGGAGAGGAGCTGGGGTTTTACTCTAACGGCGGTGGGCGCCACTGGAGGTCCGTGAACAGGGAGTGGCATGTCTGATTTAAGTGTTCAAAGGTGCTCCCTGATTTAAGTGTTTACAAGTGCTGTCTTGTCCCTCTCTTGTACCGTCCCTGGGCATGCTGGCCCCGTATGCTGAGGTGCTCACTGTGGTTGAAAGAAGCTGTCGCACACAGCCACACAGGAAGAAGTGCTCAAATGAACAAGAGGTATCACACTCTAATCTGAAAAGCCTACGGTTCTTTCACCATGTGTGCTTTTAGGAAGTGACGAGATGAAAGTAGTGATGGAAGCAAGAGTTGACCATCTGCCTTGAGAATTGCAGTGCAAGAAAGAGCATATTAGGGCTGTGGTGAACACGAAGATTGGGTCCTAACCTACATTCTGGCACTCTGGTTTTTTACGAGGTCATTGTGCTGTCCCAATCATTCTGATATTCAAGAGTGAAGGATTTACCCCGTTGAGCAGGGATGAGCCAGGTTACCTTTGGGAATGTACAACAAACTGGACCTTAAGAGCATCTGACTATGCTGGTCTGTTAGTCTGCACAGAATCTGTCCTAGAAGCTGTGTCTTATCACATGTCAGTTCACCTCTGAGGGCTGGGCACAGTGGCTCACGCCTATAATCCCAGCACTCAGGGAGGCCGAGGCAGAAGGATCGCTTGAGGCCAGGAGTTCAAGGTCACAGTGAGCTATGATTGTGCCATTGTATTCCAGCCTGGATGATAGAGTGAGACACTAGCTCTAAAAAAAATAAAATAAAATAACAAATTTACCTCTAAGGACAGATGAAAATTGCACCCAGTCTAATGTCTGGGTTCTGAAGGTGATAAAAATATGTTTGAAAATAATCCCATAGCCCTATAATAGTAAGATAAGCATCTTTCCCAATATTTCGTGGTGATAAAAAATTCCTGTTCCATTAGCAAACATTCAGTGTATACCATGAACATTGGGCAGGGAATCGGGAACACCAGGATCTGTCCCTGGCTCTGCCACCAGCAGATTATATCTAAAGTTGGACAAAGTGCTTCAACTCTGCATCTTAGTCTGCTCATTTCTAAAGGGAAGAACTTGGATGACTTCATCTGGAATCATTCTTAGCTCTCACATGCAACTGCCCATGTACTATCACCCTGATTTCCTACTGGCCCACATTTGTGAGATGGCAGGGCTTAGCACAGGGGCCTCAGACATGCCCCGGAGCTAATGGACCACGCAGGGATCAAACGTACACCTCTGGCCAGACGAGGTAGCTCATGCGTGTAATCCTAGTACTCTGGGAGGCCGAGGCAGGAGGATCACTCAAGGTCAGGAGTTCAAAACCAGCCTGAGCAAGAGTGAGACCCCATCTCTACTATAAATAGAAAGAAATTAATTGGCCAACTAAAAATATATAGAAAAAATTAGCCAGGCATGGTGGTGCATGCCTGTAGTCCCAGCTACTAGGGAGGCTGAGGCAGGAGGATCGCTTGAGCCCAGGAGTTGAGGTTGCTGTGAGCGAGGCTGACACCACGGCACTATGGCCTGGGCAACAGAGTAAGTGAGACTCTGTCTCAGAATAAAAACAAAAAAACCTATACCTTTGACTCCTTTAGCACTATTTCATTACCAATCAAACCAGCCATCTCTGCAGTGTGGAGTACAGCTTAGGTGAGTTTATCTTCCTCCCTAAACTACATACTCTTTAATAATGCTGTAGCCACTAAATGTTATCACATGTTTGCTGTGTACCTTACATCATTCAATCCTCACAATAGCCCCATGAAGTAAGTGTTAGCGTCATCCCCAACTTCATGCAGGAAACTGAGCCTTGGGGAGGTCAGGTGATTGCCTGAGGACACACAGCTAGAAAGCACCAAATTTAAACTCAGCCTCATTCCACAGTCCACACAGGGACTTAGCTGCCACATTCCAGTGCCATTGCTTACCTATTTTACCATATTCCACAACCTATATCACAGTATTAGACATTATTAGATGCTCAATAAGTGATCTCAAATGAATAAATGTTTAATGCTAGCTTGCCTTGAATATCTACCCACACTGCTTTGGAGAAGCAATATACCTTACCAACCAGAAGGAATATGCACCCTGCTTCGACTGGGTGCAGAATTGGCCCTAAGACCAGTCCCAGCAATCAGAGCTTAACCTATAGAAGGACTTACATACTTAACCTATATAAATAGTCCTTGCTGTTTTGCAGTTAGCCATCCTTTTGGTTCTCAACTGGAGGAATGAGGGTGGGAAAGATACATGGGAACCACCTGAGGAGCTTTTTCAAAAGAAGTTCTTTGTGTGGTGCCTGCCCTCCCTGTCTGGAGGGGGCAGGAATGGCTAGTCCTGCACAGGTTCCCAGGTATTTCTGATATGTTTCCACCCCTACTCCTAACCCTACATACATGTCTCTTGAGATAACACCACTTTAGTGTCAGCTCTATTCATTTAAATGAAGCCTGATCTTAGAATCTAAATTAATGAGGCTCTGTATGGCTGACTTGAACAAAACGACACCCAGAATTCCAACTGTATTGTTTATTAAATAATTATCCTCTGCATTTTACAGATGGGTTTTGACTGTAGCTGACTGACATATTTTTGTTTCATTGTATCTTTTTCAGAATCTGACTTGTAGAGCACAGTACATAGCTTGCTTTCGAATTTTATTAAAGCATAATAAATGTTACAAAGCAGCACTGTCTTGCAAAACAGTGATGGAAATGTTCTGTATCTGCTCTGTGCAATTTTATACACTGGACACGTGGCTTTCGAGCACTTGAAATGTGTCTAGTGAGACTAAGGAACTGACTTTCTAATTGTATTTCATTTTAATTAATTTGAATTTAAATAGCCATGTGTGGCTAGTAGCTACCATTGGAATGTGGAAGTATAGAGAAACATCCTTTCATTTTCATTTTTTTTTAACTAAAATAATGTAGTACTAGGACTCATTCCATTTTTTAAAAAATCACTTTCCATGATATCCAAAAAAAGAACATCGACAACACTGTAAGAGCCAAGAAGAAATTGTAGCATGCTTACATTTCCACCAAGGAATGAATTCTTAAAGAAAAAGAAGATTCTCGCCCAGGAGCAGATGAAAGCAGGCAGGCAGGGAAGAGACACTCCCTAGGGGAGCTCCCCAGTATTTCCTAGCAGTCTGCGACGACACAGAACAGACTGAGACTGTCAAGGAGAGAGAAATTCCCCCTCGGAGGAAAACCTAAATGTGTTTTTAGCCACTTGTCACCCCAGAGGTAGGACAGGGTGGCAGTGTTAAATTGCTAAGACTGTAAAACACAGAACTTAACTAACCTTCAAGGCCAGGGGAGGTGTTTCAAGTGCTTTTTAACCGACCAAACTTCATTCCTGACATCCAGAGGGTTTCTGCCTATGTGGCAGATTCAAAACCTGAGTTTCTTTCTGGTTATAACATTAGCATTTTGGCTAAAAATACCATTTCGCAAAAGCAGGATTGTGCTGAAGTTTCTTTGAAAGCAAATATTATGAAAATCACAACGTGACCCAGGATTCAGAGAAAGGGAGAGAGAGATAGGGTGACAAGGTAACAGAAATGCAGGAAATAGGATCCATAAGAAAAACATAAAGTAAAAAAAAAAGAAAATCCATTCACTACAAGAAGGGTAGCTACTAAAGGAGCAAAGGAGGAAAGGTATGTAAACTGAGGAAGAAGTTCACTAACGGACCCAGAGAAAAGAGCAGAGATGACTACAAAGCTAGGACAATGTTGTTCAAATTTGACTGCAAGGACGTACTCTTGGGAGGGTGGGTATCTTTGGGGTCAATCAGAAGGTTTACATTTTGCCAATTATAAAGACAAACCTTGTCTTTTTTTCAGTGAGAATTCTCAATTGA